ATGTTTAAATATTTAGTAAAAATAACCAGTTTTTAATAAATAGTCTTATTTATACTTCTCATGAGAAAACACAATTTTTTTAAATAAAATATATTGAATTTAGTTAAAGGAAATAAAACAACTTCCTTCAGCATGGATCATACCACATACAAAGGCGTCGATAAATTGGATAGTAACTTAACATAAGTTTTCCTATTGAAATATTAAACAGGATTAGTGGAGGTTTGTCACCGCATCATTTAAATTGAAGATCTGGAGCAATAGTTATGTTAATAAGAAATTTGTGTATAGCAGACAGTTTGTACAACGGCACACAAATAAAGATTAGAAAGTTGTTTAAGTGTAATATTAAAACTGAAATTATCACAAGTGAAAAGTTTGAGAATAGAGTATTAATACCAAAAATCAGTTCAATACTGTAACACCTTTTCATTATTTTTTATACCTTACAGCAAGCAATTTCCTTTATATGTATCGTTAGTAAGTTGCAAAACTAAAGAAGAGATACGAATGCAAATGGATCTTAAAAATAATTTAGGATTAGAATATGTTGTTTGAAAAAAAACTTTCGATTAGGAGGATGTACACTTTATGAAAAGAAAAAAAATAACAAATTGAAAGTTATCACATAAATTAAAGCAACATTTTTAAAAAGTAGCATATGATATGAAATGTTTATATTGTATTTTTTTAAAATTTTGTTAGAAATCATTAAAGTTTTAATTTTAATTCAGTATAACTATTTATAACAACTTTTTAAATAAGATCCTATTTTCAATGTTCTTTATCAAAATTGGTTTATTTTTGTGATTACTTCGTATGCGTATTGTAAAACAATAATTTAAACGAATCAAATTTTATGATTTTGTACTAAAAATATTATCTGATGAAAATTAGAGTGATGTATTAAATAATAAATTTCAAGTGTTATGTATTTTTGTTTTTTAATTTGCTTACATAAAAAGTAGTAGGTTTATGACAGACGGGTTTTTAAAGAAAAAAAAGTTGTAAGCGAATGAATAGAAGTGTGAACAAATTATTATTTAATTACAATATCTATTAATGGTCATTTTTTTTCCCTTTAAATCGAACATCGGGGAGTTCTGTATTTTCGTGGTTTCATAAGGTTACTGGCGATGACTACCGTAGTTTCTATTATTTTTCACTACTTGAGTTTCAATAAATATTTGTTATCATATGTCATACGATTACACGTATTAATTCAAAACTCAATGGAGGAAAGAAATACTACAAACAAAAAAAAAGGTCAACGTGCCTCAGATTTAATACTTATCAATGTTTAAACAAAGAAATAACTCTATTTGATGTTTTTGTACACGTTGTTACTAAGTATAAAATCGATTTCTTTGCCTCCTCGGAGGTGTGAAAAAATAGATAACTATATATAACTAAGAGCTTGTTTACCGTAAGTTGTAGGAGCTGTCGCTAGCGATTGGCTACAGTTAGTTTCAGCTAATGTACAGTTTGTGCATACAATAGCTTATCAATGTACTATAGACTAAGCTGTAACAAATCTGTAGAATTATCCTTCATACTGTACGGGGTGCTGGATCGGTAAAATGTAGTGGGGGGCCGCGGAGGGGCAGCTGCGGGGGGTACTTAAAAATGTGCGAGGGGGGGTAAGAGGGCTTACAAAAAATAAGGGAGATTTTTAATGGTCCAAAATAACGGTGAAATTAACGGAATTGTCCTTTTGTTTTACGTACAAGTGCAAGTACACGTAGTTTAAGTTACAATTAAAACTTTTGCAAAATTTTTGAAGTATCTTAATACCTCAGAAAACGATATTTTTAAAAAACAACCAAAAATTTGGGTAAAAAAAAAAAAAAAAAAAAAAAAAAAACTAATTAAATTAATTTTAAAGTTTTTTTACCAATGACCCAGTAGATGAACAGCGTGTTCAGGTATTAGTACATACTACTACTACTACTACTACTACTACTACTACTACTACTACTACTACTACTACTACTACTACTACTACTACTACTACTACTACTACTACTACAAATTAGTCTTTAAGTAAGTAACGAAACACAAACTTGGCTAAAATCATTATTGAATGATTGATGTTAAAGGGAAATATGTAAGGGATTAATAACAGTTTTAGTTTACGTAAATTAATTATTATTTACACATAATAAACCATTTTTTTAATGGTAGACAAAGACTTTTTTAATGTCTGTCATTGCTAATTTGCAGTACTCACTTATGTACACAAGTTTATGCTTTAAAAAACCGTACAATTGTACACTGCTTATAATTATACGAGAACTGGGCAACCCAAAAATAAGAAAGTAAAACGAATACCAATACATGAATAACTTGTGTATTTTTGTATTAAAATAAGTGTGTAATGGATTAAAAATAAATTTAGTACTAGACATAACCTTAAAGAGTAGTTACTCGAAAAAAAGACTTTTATACACTAAAACTATCGTAAAACTATAAAATCAACTACTTTATTACTGTATGTATAGTATGATAAAAAAATGTATGATTAACAAGATAAAAGCTTTGAGTTTGACAAGATTATCATGGTCACAACAATACAACTGCTTAAACAATTCTAAATAAAATCAAAATACAATTTTTGCTTGTACATGTACTCAAGGTTTGTTAAGAAACTTTTTTATGGGTGGAAAATATATAATAGAATCATTTATGGAATAGATAACGTGATGCAATACTCTTTCATAGTGTTAAAAAGTATTTGACAGATGAAATAAAATACAATGTACAAGTTTTCGCAAAAAAATTTAATTATTAAGATATTAGCTTATTGCGTAAAAGCATTTGAGGGTATTTGTCCTAAGCTATAGGCTTTTTGAAATGCTGATTGGGCACTTTCAAAATTCCACTGTACGTCTTCTAAACATTTGAGACTCCACTCAATGTTCATTTTAGTCTGTTGACTTAATGTTATAGTCATTTGTTGTTTTACTTCTTCCGACAAATCTATTGAACTAATGGTACATAAAGGTACAGCGCAAGATGGTCCTGGAACTCCTTGGACAGATAAAGAAGTATCGAACTGCTTTTCTTGATCAACAGTTGGGTTACTAATGTGTAATTGTTCATTGCTTATGCAGAATCCTGCCCCTTCTGGCACTATTACGAAAGTTCGATTAAAGTATCGCAATAATTTGTCATTGTTGTGATACTCCTGAAATAAGCCCGTCACAGTCACAAACATCATTTTTTCCTACAATCAATTTTTTTTTTGAGTATAAAAATTATTAGGTTACATGGATAAAAAATTTAATAGATGACATACAGAGAAAACACTTAAGTCCATTGTAAAACTGTTCAAATCATGTTTTGTACGCGGCATTTCAGATATAAAGGAAACTACAGGCAGTCGTCCCTGCTTTAATAATTTCCGTCTTCGAGGCGTATCCAAAACTTTTAACAGATTGCGGGTCTCAAGTAAATACGGATTGAATCTAGAAACAATGTCAATTCATGATCACAAGGCTAGTGCTTCATCACACTTTATCAAAGCCATATTGAATCCCACACAACTCATGTATAAGAACTGATTTATACTTATACGTTTTGCACTTACTTGTTCAGATTTTGGGAAATATTAGTTGTTAAACTAAAGCAAGCTTGTTCATGGTATGCTTCAAGTAATGACTGACGATTGCTGCTATCAAAAACTAAAAAGTACTGTTGAAGAAATCTACTAGCAAGCTCCTTGGCATTCGTATTAGATTGCACAATAAACATTCTGTGAGTCGAAGGTAATTTATTCTTTTGATCATCTAAATCAAAGACAATAGCGGGTGGTAATTCCATGTCATCCTGAAAAATCGTAAAACAATAGTAAATAAAAAAAAAAAAAAAAACTAATGTCCTTATGATTAATAATTTTACGATACAGTCTACTTCATTTACGTACCAGTCTCAAAAGTTTTGGAAACATTTTTCTTATGCCACTGAAAATAATTTTACAAATTGTCTTAGTTGATATTATTGATTAATGAGCTTCAAATCAGTTATAATACTAAAATAAATCATTATAAGAAACTTATTACAATTTTTGTTTATACCTTACGAACTCATCTTGTCTATTCTTGTATTTGATACAGAAAGGATTACCTTCTAATCGTAGTTCTTCTAAGTGCAAGTTTTTTAATGCATTTAAGTTACTCATTTCTTTTATCTGAAACAAAACTTTTTTAGTGCAATTTTATTGAAGACATAAAATCATGTATAAAATGCAATGTTTTACGTACTTTATTGTCACGAATGTAAAGAATTTTTAGTTTAACAAATTTACTAGCAAGTAAACTCAATTTTTCAATATTATGTAACTTATTGGAGTCTAAATTTAATGCTTCCAAATGAGGTATGTGCTCTTGAATAATGTCTAAGATTGTCATTAACATGTTCTGCTTTGAAAGAGGGCACCAATAGTCTTCAGCTAAATCTAAATCATAAAATTCATTATTAAATCTGGTGAGTTATAAAGATTTATAGCCTGGTAACCAACAATTTTTAGTTTTAAGGTATAATTGAAAAATCATTTTTTGTTTGTCGACAATTTCAATGTTATAATTTTGATGTCACATTAGAATCAGTATAACAAGCAAAGTTTGATACATACGTATCTTCGTATCACTAGCCCACATAGATGGAGGTACTGTTCAAAGCCCTTACAGCCCATCTATGTCCTTTTTTTTGACAAAAAATCATTTTTAAAAATTAGATTTAAAAAGTCTAAATTTACAAGTTTGAATATCCAACCATTCACAAGTATAAAAAAAACTTCCCAGGTATGGAACCAACACACAACCTTCTGTTTTCTAGGCAGTTGGTATACCACTTAAGCTATCAAGTAGTCGTGCACTCACACACACCTGTGATAGATTTGTTAGATTTAATTCTTGGTTTTTGTGAGCTGTTTCTTAAATATACCTCGAATTTATTATCTTAATAAGGTTTAATTGGAGAACGATTTCCTGCTTATAGATAAGTTATATACTAGAAGTCTTTGTGTGACTTTATCACTGGTATAATCCACAGCTAAGGAAAGATTTTTTCTATTTTTGTGAATAGTTTAAAATTTCTTAAAACTTGTAAGTTTCGACTTTTTAAAATTTTATTGGAAAATCATTTGTCATTATAAAAGGACATGGATAGACTAAGAGTGCTTAGAACAGTACCCCTATCTATATATGAGCCTATAAATTTAATTATATGCATGTATCACAAATGTTACTTGTGATACCAGTGATGAAGTCACAAAATAATTTGTAATATCTCATTTATCTACAAGTAGAAAATCGTTTTCCAATCAAACTTTATTAAATAAAGAATATATTCCAGTATTTTTAAACAAAACCATGGTTTTTTATAATAACTTAGTATACTTATATAAAAATAAATTTAAAAATAATGATCATAATTATTTTAATGACCGTATACAGAAATGAAATATGTTCGAAACAGGTAGGTACTTAGAAGAAAAATAATAATGTTATGAGTACTCAAACTATTGATCAACTTATTGATCAACAACAGATTTATGTATACATTAATTATTATTTTTCTTTTTAGGTGTGGAAGGAAGATTTGTTGTCTTGTCGTGGTTACGTAAGGCTATTGACGAGAACTACTACTAGGCCAGAGGAATTAGAAACAACAGTAATGCAATTACCCGCGGGATAGAACATAGCTAATTTTTTTTGTTTATATGCAAGGAACATTATCCTGAAATTGATCCAGTTATGGAGATAAGAAACAACGTCAAATAACGATGTATTTTATATTGACTTACATTAACTTTCTCGTTTTCACAGCTAGTTCGCAGAACTTGAAGAGAACAGAAACATTATTATTGGTCATATTGGTATTAGTGCACTCATCCGTTTCATTTATAATGTTACATACATTGTCGTAAAAATTAAAAAACTACAGTTTTGATGGAATACCATAATAATTTATGAAGCAAAAGCAAAGTAAAACAGAGAAAAAAATAGTTTTTTAACTTAAACAATAATTTACTTACATTATTTAAATGTTACAAAAATTGTGTAATTTAAGCATGGTAGTCTGTGCTACATTCTCGCACTACTCGAGATTAAAAAAGGTATAAATCAAATAAAAAAATAACTAAGATATAGTCTTTTTCTGCTGATTTTAAGTACCTTGATCAACTTTTAGATCACTGCCTATACTGTACGTAAGATAACACTATCCGTATGACTCTTATTCCGTATCTATCACTTTTGGATGAGAGAATATTTGTTTCAATAGCAGTGTTGACATGGCAATTCATAAATTTACAAAATGCGAGTGTTGAACAATCCATATTTATGATTTAAAGCGTTAATGTTTATAAATAAACAAATGATCAACTTGATTAAAAAAAACCTTGTCTTGGCTTCTACGTATGCTGGAGCGACTACTTTTTTTAACTCGTGTAAAATTACCAGCTACTTGTCTATAAATACCACATGATGCTACAGCCACTTGTTAGTACGATATTGAAAAAAAACATGCCATCGGAAAAGCAAATTTTTTAGACATGATTTGGACGGTCTTAAAATAAATTACTACACCTATAGCATTATCGTAAAATATAGGTATTGACGAAAAAATAAGGATCCTGATTAATTAGTCTTATTTAATTAAAAGTAAATGAATATTTGATAATTTTAAACACTAATTTGTTAAGTCTGATTGTTGTGTTTACAAAACGTTTGAAACAAGTTACAAAAAACTCGATTTCTTACGAGTTGTACAACACATCGTTTTTTGACGTTGTTTCTTAATTCCATAATCTGATAAATTTTAGGATAATCTTTCTTGAATCGTTAAATTGTGAAACAGTATCACCATACATCACAAAAAAACGTCCGTCATATCCCATGTTGTGCGTTATTAAAATAAATAGTAGCTCTCTTTCATTTAATTTCTTTCTGGCTTACATAATTCTCATTCAATTTTGATTTAGAAACAATTATTTGAACAATATAAATAGAAAAATTAATGCATCTAGGCTTTTTACTCGAGGCATAAAAGAAATTATTTCACAAACATTAACGACACACATTTATACCGATTTTCTAAGAATATTATGTGGTAAATAGATAATAAAAGATTCTTCTGGCTTATGGTTATGAATTAAATACATTTGCTTTATAGGTAGCATGAAAAAATGATATTATGGAGGGTTACAAGAGGAACGAAGACTGAAAAAACGACATGTTGGTATATGGAAGGTGATTGGAAAGCTTTGACTTATTATATTTACAGTAATGACATTTACAGAAATATTTTTTTTTTACTAGTGGAGAGAATTTCGATGACTTAGTGGTTAGAATGCTAGCCTCCTAGCCAGAGAAACTTGAGCGGTCAAGAGTTCAAATCCTATCGAAAATCATCCAGATTTTTTTCTCGTGTTTTTTCGATGGGAATACTACTTTTCCAATTTTGAAAAATGAATAGTAGATTTTTTCTGGTAATATCTGAACCTTCAGGGGCTTACCTTTCGAAGAAAAGCCAATACCTGGTCAGCTCTTCGGGTAAAGTCACTATTAGTTTTAAAAAGGTCGGTACAGCGAGTTAGATGGTTTATTAGAAAATATCTTTCTATTGCACTTGATAATAGCTGGGGTATGCTGGAGACAATCACTACGCCCTGTAATTAGTACTCAGAAGGATAGATGACCGAGTCATCCGAGGGGAACTTTGTAAGGGATCTGCTCGAAAGACTCTCATACTTGAGGGAAAAAGAGGTTAATTATAGGAAAAAGAGCAAGGTAAAAATTATTGGGACATTAGGATACGTAAGAACTCTGCATTGGGTTACGTTCTTAAATAGTACATCTACTATATACCAATGGAGTTGCCCTCCTTGTGCGCTCTGCGGACCAAACCCTCTACTTACAGATCATGCTATAACTATAATCTTTTCTGAACGAAGTTTTCATGTTTATATCACCAAGCCTTGAAATTTTCTGCCATTAATTGTTTGGCAAGCAAAAAAATATGTTTAAGTAATAGTGACCAGAAACATTCGACAAGAGATGATCTGCGATGGGGGCTGATGAAAGATTACGATGCTGTTTTTAGAGACACAAAAAAGATAGGCTGCTTATTCCAAATACAGATGGCAAAGCTCACGTAGAGAAGTAGATATTATTTTTTCTTGCCTCCTGCGGTTTTTCTGTAGCAACCCACCACGAACTAATGTCTTTTCAAATTAAATTTTGAATTATTAAAATATCAAACATACTGTTAATTTTTATCACTTAAAAGTTATTTAGACTGTAGTTTTAATTAAAAAATAGTAATACTTTCAAAAAAAATAGTATTTACTACTGCTGTTGGAAAAAAAACACATACATATATATATTCAGATTATGAGAAACGAAATAATACATATTTGAAAAATGTCTATAGAACAGCGAATAAATTTAGAATCCCTATTAATAATTTCATGGTTACATGATGTAACAAATTCCTGAAGAAAATAATGTGTGTCATGTAGGCGTTCGGTACGCCAATCTCTGAGAATAGATAACGTTTATCAATATATACTTGTATGTGTGATTGTAATACAATATGATATTGAATGATTCAAATATTTCGATCATGAAATATGCTTTTTTTAGTATTTTCCTGTTCTATGTATAGAAATAATGTTATAATTTTTTGTATACATTCATGTATCAATATTTTCTTGTTTTTATTTATCAATGCTATTTAAGACTGGTTATAGAAAAGCTATAATAAATGTGAGATATTAAAATTTATTAAAATGGAAATTAAATCGTTCATTGACTATTTTTTTGCGCTACCCACTTTTTTTATACAATGTCATGCTACAATTTCAACTGATTTATTGTATTTTTATGTATTTCATTGAAGCTGATAAATAAATTTGAAACATAGTAAAAATTAATTTTAATATCTTTTTCCATTTTTACATAGAATTCAAAAATGCAATTTATTCTTCTCTTTCCTCATGCCCGGTAAATGAAAATATTGAATAAAGCAAAATGTTTGGAACGTCTTGTTTTTATGCTACCAATTTTCATTGAAATCTAAAAGTAGTTTCAAATTTATCAAGAAAAATATGTGAATCCTCATAGTCCTCCATGTTTAACCTATCAGCATTAAAAGTGTCCCATTACTTTTTTCCGATCTGGTTGAGCCTTACAAAATTGTAACTACATCATTTTAACATTAATATTTATTAACAAATCACGTTTCATCAAAATCTGAACAACGGTTTAAGTATTGATAGTACTACCTTAAAGTACCAAGCCATCGCAATCTGATGGTCATATAAACACTTATAAAATATGGCACTTACACATTAGTTGTAAATTAATAGCAAAATGAAATTTTTAACAGTCTCTCGGTGTGTGTGTGTGTGTGTGTGTGTGTGTGTGTGTGTGTGTGTGTGTGTGTGTGTGT